ATCAAATAGAACCCTGAATTCTTGGTAATTTCACCCTTTTCTCAGTAAATACACCGAGATTTTTTTTTCCAGTGTAGCACGGCAGAATTATGCCGATCAATTTCAAACTTTGTATTTCCTGAAAATTTCCATTTCCGGTTGCGGTCTTTCATTAACACCCAAATACTATACAAAGTTTTTTTCTTTGAGAGCGACTTAATCTTAGATTTGGTTGAGGTAAAAACACTCATAGCTGGATTGGCGATGATGTAGATTTCTTGTAATTTTTTTTTTTTTTTTTTTTTTTTTCCAATAAAGAAAACTAGTGATTATTATATCTCGTGACTCTTTCACAGATTTTTCTGCAACATCGACAGGATATTCTGTAAAAATTGGAAAAGATAACAGTTCTTGGCTCCATAAAAACAAAGCGAAACAAAAACTTTGAAAAGTGCAATCGCGGCGCATGTTATTCAACTCTAAACATTCTCATTTTATTTTAAGCTGCCTTAACGTGAACCATACCTTCCGCCTCCATTGTTTCCATTCTAACATTTGAATATTGCCCCATGCAAAGCATATTCGAGCGACAGGGTAATTTCAAATCGATGATATAGTTTTACTTTCGGAAATTCCCACCTTTGAAATCATCGCAATCCAAGAATATTGTCATGACTTAATATATTTACTTGGACCACTGCTCAATTTTTTTTCTGTCATTTTTTTGTCAACCTACAGAATGATGCATCTGGAATTTACGTACTGGAATGAGACAGTCCACGAGTTTTTTACTTTGCGCCATCGAACGTCTACTTTGATAGAAAAAGATAAGCAAACGTATTGGGCGAGCACTAAAAATTGAAGAAGTTGACAAAAATGTTGGCATTTTTGAGGTTTGGGGTTGTGATAGTGTTCGATCTTTACATTTTTATGATGATCTGAACGCTTTATTCTATAACACGAGGAGTGATAAAACGGAGACTTATTTTTACAGAATTTCGGTTTTAGATCTGAAAACTTGTTATCACCCCCATCAAAGGTCACTCTATGGTTCAAACTAGTGATATTGACTTGACTAATTTGAGGTAGATTGGTTCGATGTGTGGGCCGGCTCATTTCTTTGGTTCAGTTTTTCCTGTTCGGACATCCTGCAGCGAGAAACTCGTTATGCAAGAGGGAGAATTTTTCCTTAAAAATGTGTAAAGAATTCAAGTAAAGTGGCATCTGTATAAAGTGATTGAAACCATCTCGTCTCACGGGATATTGATGATGGGTTGGATGATAAAAGAAAAAAAAAAAGTTAAGGAGACACCCTTCTTTTTGAAGGAAAAAAGTTTTGGGGGCCCAAAAATAGAAAGGAATGAAACAATGAAATATTCTCAAAGAGTAGTGTTGCCGCGCTAAGGAAGAACGCTGTATAAGCCTTCGGAAATTGCCGAATTTCCTATGATAAGTCACAGAATTTCTAAGAAACTTATAAATATTTGCCTTTAAATTTTTTAAGGACTTTTAGTCGCAGTTCGATCTCAAATATTTGAAAACTCAAAAAAAAAATGTCCAAAAATCTTCTCAATAGTAGCTATCGGACTTGTAATAGTTACGTTATATTAAAATAAAATTCCTTAAAAAAAAAAGTAACTATTGCATCGGCAGAGATCTGGCACCATTTAAACGTTCATACGACGTTTCTCCTTGCTGTGGCAAAGCTTCTACATATTTTGAGAAATATAAATCAAAACAGGATTTAAAAAATCATTTTCATATTGATTTTTAACCCAACCTACCGTTGTTTCGAACGTCAGAAAGTTAAAGTTTTGGAAAGTTTTTAAAAAGGGATCAAAATTCTGCATTGGTCATACATAGGAACTTTAATTTTATTGTGAAAAGTTTCTTTTGTAGATGTCTTCCTACAAATTAAGAAATCGATGAGATCTTCCAAATAACCACCACCTCATTAATCAAACAAAAAATTGCCCCATTCGAATAAATTTGTAGCCCTTATGGAGAGATATCAAATTTTCAACGCTTGAGGGGTAGTTCGATGAAGTACCCTAATCAAGCCTAGCAGGATGCCTGTTAAGAGAATGACATTATTTTTTTTTTAGTACCCTTTTTACAATCATTATTCCTGCTTTTGCAGATATATTCTCACCAATATTTGTGCCAAAAATATGTTCATTTTCGCGGGGTAATTCAAATAATTTGTTCGCGTTCGCAAGCATGGCAACACGGTACCAAATTCACATTGCTTGGACGAGATTTTGCGGCACGCGTGCTTCCTGAGCAACACAAAAAATTCTCTGTAATTGGTAGCGGGTCCAACAATTATTCACCATATCCTGAGGAAATGCGCGAACTGGTTTTTGTTCACAATCGCACCCTCATTTCTCGCTGGGTGGGATCCGCGGAATCACATTGAAAGGGGTAAAAGCGATGACCTCTTGGAGACGCTTTTCTGCGAGAAAATGAGTTACTAAAATAGGTCCTATTGACGACCCTCATACCGCCTGAAGCAAGAGCAATGTGACTAACCTCTGAAATTTAAGACACAAGACGTCTTAAAACAACAAAAAAACGGCATATGTGTATACTCCAGAATTTCCTATTATCTGCGCCTAACCATCGGAAACTTAAACATTTTTAAACAAATAAATCAAAAACTACGTGATCAAGCATTCTAACACTGGAAAAAAACACATTGGATCTGGAGTCCAGACTCTTAAAACATCGACAAGAAAAAGTACTCTTGATTCAATTAGAATCTAGCTTAAATCAAGAAACAAGCCTCTTAATTTAAGCGGATTTCGTTTTGATTCAAGCAGAAATCCGATTGAATCAAGAGTATTTTTTCTTGTCAATGTTTTCAAGAGTCTAGACTCTAGATCCAATGTGTTTCATTTCCAGTGAACCCTGGATCATTTTGATACAGAGAAAAGATTAAGAAAATCATTTTCGGGACTCTTTTTTAAACTTAGGTCAGAGATTCCTCTTGAAAATATGTCAAAAAACTAAATTTTCCAGATTTTGTCATGAGGTCTCTTTACGCATACAGCGCAACACAAAAAAAATTATATAGCTACAGAAGATGCATGGTTTCATAAAATTTCCTTTGAAAATAGATCCCTCTCAGACTTTTCAAAAACTTTGTGGGGCTCATGGTAATTCTAGAAAATACGAGTATTTTCGGAAAATTGAATTTTAGAAAAACCTTTTTCCCACCGTAAGAAACGCATATTTTTTTCAAATATTCTCGAGTACATAGATCACTTTTTTAAACGACGTCCAATTGACACTCGTCAAGGTCTCGGAACTTTGGCCGTCTGTAATACAGATCTTTAGGAGAGGTGTTGCCAGTCTGCGGAAGATCACCCTGGATTTCCGCTCCGAAAGGACAAGAAAACTGTAATTAGTAGGACATTCGGCAACCGGGGAAAGATTAAAGCTTTTATTTCTCAATTAATTGCAGGCTCGGATTTAAAGCGAAGTCGCATGCTCTGTTTCTGACGTCATTAGACTGCGCCAAGAACGATTTCCGCGCCACCTCACGATAATAATTGTTACAGTTACGGCTGATCAGACGCTAATATGGGATGAGCTGATTCTAAAAGGATGCGCATTTCAACTAGTACTATTGATTTGAGATAAATATACTTGTTTATGAATATCCTTGACAAGTTGAAAGCTTTTTCGCATACCAACTCCTTCACCTTCACGTGTGTCTCCTGAAAATTTTCATTTTTCCGAGTTGCCGAGTTTTCCATGGGCCTATTGCAAACTTCAGCAAGAGCAAAAAGAAAAGTTATTTTTATACTAAATGGCTCAAAAATTACGAAAGTCTAGAATACACCTCACTTTACAATTTGCGTAAGGAATATGCGTTATCTTAAACTTGACATAATTTCCTCTAATGGAGAATTTGCACGCAATTTTTCTATTGCTTCATCTGAGAGTGTTTAAAGAGCTGATTTCACAGCATTTTTCATAATTTATTTCGAAAATGGGAAAAAGTATAAATATAGATTTATACAGTGAGAAAATGTACCACATAATATATAGCGACGTCATCTGACGGCATTCCCCATTTAAACACCAAATGTAATGTAACGTAATGTGCGTATGCATCGTATATGTATGTGTAATGTTTATGTATTCTAGCAAATTCTATCATTTCGTTATATCTCCTCAAATAATTGTTCAATTTCTGACCCAAGGTATCTCCGCGTTCAGTTCTCTCAGTAGCTCCTCTTAAACACGAATCTCATCAAAGCTCAGACTCCTGCAAATTCTCCATTGCTGGACATCGACGGATCCACAAACTGGCAACATAGTTTTCCTCCCTTTAAACCTATGGAAATGTATCGATTCTCGGAGGGGCCAGGTGTTCCGACGAGAATCGATTATTTATCGTAGGATTTGATGGAAGGAATCCGTCATTGCCAATGGAGATGTTGCATGTGTGAGTAATTTTTGATTTGACTATTGATTCTTAAGTAAAAGTTCACGAGAAATACGATGGTGCCATTGGTTTTCTCTGAAATCAATTCCCAAGCTCAAAATAAGCTCTCAACTTGAAGCCAAAATGGAGGGGATATTCCACGCTATCCTGAGAGTCCACCTCAACATCAAGACAAACTCTCCATGCAAAGATAGGGAGCAAATACATTGACAGGGCTGCCACTTTATTTTGGGACTCTAAAATTGAAAACACGGCAGCCCTGTCAATGTATTTGCTCCCTATCTTTGCATGGAGAGTTTGTCTTGATGTAGAGGTGGACTCTCAGGATAGCGTGGGATATCCCCTCCATTTTGGCCTCAACTTGAGAGCTTTTTTTGAGCTTCGGAGTTGATTCCAGAGAAAACAAGAGGCACCATCGTGTTTCTCGCGAACTTTAACATAAGAATCAATATAGTCAAATCGCAAATCCCTCACACTTGCAACATCTCCATTTCTGGATCCGCCATATTTGCTGGATACCCTACTTTGAATGAATAATAATAATAATGGTTCCGTTCATCCACAGGCAAACTGTTTCTGGAGGTGGCCTTCGGGATCCTGACACTATGCTCCTTCGAGAACGGGTTCTCGATGGGCCAGTACGGGCCGAACGAGTCGCAAGAACAGCTGCGGCTGTTCGAGGGTCTCGGGGCCGTGTTTTTGGACGGCGAGAGGTTCTACCGCTCCGAGCCCCCAGAGACGAGGAGGATTTTATCCGCCTACGATTTCATCATCATCGGGGCTGGATCCGCAGGTTGCGTCATGGCTAGCCGACTTTCCGAGATACCCGATTGGAAGGTGCGTACAATTTCATAGTCAACATTTTTTTAAATATAAAGTTATCGTACAAATATGCACTGGAAAAAACACATTGGATCTAGAGTCCAGACTCTTGAAAACATTGACAAGAAAAAATACTCTTGATTTAATCAAAATCTAGTTTAAATCAAGAACCAAGCCTCTTAATTTAAGCGGATTTCGTTTTAATTCCATCAAAAATCCGATTGAATCAAGAGTATTTTTCTTGTCAATGTTTTCAAGAGTCTGGACTCTAGATCCAATGTGGTTTTTTTTTTTTTCAGTGAAAACTATCGTACAAATATGTAGCAGCCAGTGTTCGAAACTCACAGGCGCCACCGCACCAAATGCGCCTAAAAAATTGGCCATATGGCGCCTGAAAAATGAAGGCTCTGCGCCAACGTGGCCCCTAAAAATTGCCCCCTGAAAATACGGATTTTCATAGGGAGTCTCACAAAGAAAGAAAAACAAATCTATTTGCATTAAAAAAAAAAACTCAGAATTTTCAGCACTACAATTTAGTGAAAGCTTTTTCTATTCTTCACGATTTCATTCTTAGTGCTTTTGTCTTCCCCAAGTTACCGCTACTTACTAGTTCTGTTTCGAAAACATCTTGCGTCTAACTTATCACTAAATGCGCCGTAACAATATAGGCAAAAAGTCAATTTGGACCCTAAAAAATCTTCAATGGCACCTAAAAATCGGGCTTGATGCGCCACATGGCTCCTAAAACTCAAAGGTGAGTTTCGAACACTGGTAGCAGCCAATTATTTACATTAAGCAATTAATTACATGTCTCAGCAGATAATAAAACTTTGAAACAAGGGCAGTTAGTCAAACTTCGAAACGAGGGCAGATAGTTAAACTTTGAAACCGAAACAGATGGTCAAGTTTTGAAAACTACAGCATTCATCCGAAGTTCTCTTAATTCCGTTGCATGTGCAATTTGATCTCCGGGAGTTGAAATAGTTGCAGAAAGTAGACATTTTTGAGAGAAAAAAAAAAATTATCATACAAATTCATAGCAGCCAATTACTTAAATTAATCATTTAATCACATGCCTCAGCAGATAGTTAAACTTTGAAACAAAGGCAGATGGTCAAAATTTGAAACCGAAACGGATAATCAAATTTTGAAAATTATAGGATTCTTCCGAAGTTCCTTCAATTCCTTGCATATGTAATTTGATCTCCAGGGAGTTAAAATAGTTGCTCGAAGTCGAAACGAATGGCGATCAACGAAAATCGGCGCGCCTGAGTAGACTACTGGGTCATGAAGTTGCGCGTTAGTCATATTTCCTTCGCTTCGGTGGGTATGCAATTTGATTTCCGGGGAGTTAAAATAGTTGCTTGCAGTTGAAACGAACGGCGATCAAAGAAAACCAGCGAGATCAAGTAGACTGGCAGCTAAGCTATGAATTGGTGTAATTTGTCTGAGTTCCTTCGCTTCGGTGGGTATGCAATTTGATCTCCGGGGAGTTAAAATAGTTGCTTGCAGTCGAAACGAACGGGGATCAAAGAAAATCGGCGAGATCAAGTAGACTGCCAGATAGGCCATGAATGAGTGCAATTAGTTGGAGTTCTTTTGCTTTGGTGGAAATGAAATTTGAACTCCTGAGAGCTAAAATAGTTGCTCTATGTTGAAAGGAACTGCGAATTAAAGTGCGTTGTCCTCACTTAAAAATACGCGGATGTATTTAGAATTCGCTAAACAGCATCAGATGTTACCTAATTTCCCCCAATTTTTCATCCTTCGATACATTTTTTCCGCTTTAAGATACCAACACGTACGCGTGAAAGATTAGTCTAAAATTTTCTCGATGTCAGCCACGTTACCAAGAGAAAGAGTTCAAGCGCTCAGCTTATTAATTATTATTGAAATATTATGATCACCTTGTTACCTTTGGTTCCCCTTTAATGAAGTAGATGGTCTATTGTTCAACCCTTCCTTGTTTATAATCTTAAGATCGTTTAATTTTTCACGAGAACTTTTGGGAAAGTAGAGGAATATTGCCAGGGATTAAAAAAATAAAAATAAAATAAAAAAAAAAAATAAAAATAGGGTACCAATAACAGAACAGATCCACAAATAATCTCTCAATTTACAAGGGAAACGGATAGAGAAAGAATGGAAATGTTAGGTAGGTCAAAAAGAGATAATTATGTGATATAAAAAAATAATACATTAAAAAAAAAAAAAAGTATAATAGAATTTTTAATATAATTAACTTCACGGAAGAAAGATGCGACAAGGTGAAAAACGAATTATTAACAAAATAAAATGTGTATCATACATTTAAAAATAAGTAACTTAAATTATAAAATAGAGAAAAACAAGCAATGGTATCGCCAGTACTTGGACCGAAATACTCATTTGTGCACTAGATAAAACCCTACATTTTTTAATAATTTCATAAATAATCACCAAACAAAGCAAAAGATAAAAAATAAGGAAAAATGAAAATATACTAAAAGGAAACAGCATAAATTTAAAAATAAAATAACTTTCATAGTAATTAACTTAATTATCTTAATTCATAGTAATTAGTAATTCATAGATTGCAATAGTTTCATCCTAAAGTGGGTCTATTGATGAGAGGAACAGAAATTTCAATAAAATTTTCGAAAAATCGGAGTAAAAAGTAAGTGGAGGCGCCGGGTATCGATCCCGGTACCTCTCGCATGCTAAGCGAGCGCTCTACCATTTGAGCTACGCCCCCGGATGGATGTAGGGGCCGAAATACGCGATGCTAGCGCCGCCGCTGTATACGAGAGCAAGTAACACTAGCTACGAAGGCATGGATGGCATGTAAACATTGACACGTGCGAAGCACGTGCGGATTTCCCTTCTTCAAATTCTCCTTTTTCGTTGTTTCGTCAATCGGCTAAACGAACTATATTTTGGAACACGGAACTTTGTATAGTATCGTAAGTTACACCGAAAAGAGTGAGGTTAATTTAACATATTTGGTATAAAAAAAGAGGGCGAGAACTTATAACATACCGAATTACCCGCCACAGTAGTTAGTTTTACATCTTGGCATTGCTGAGGTAACTGCTGTAGTGGGTAATTCAGTATTTTATAAGTTCTCTCACACTGTTTTTACATCCAGAATGTTAAATCAACTTCCCTTTTTTTTCGGTGTTTCCCTTCTTTAAATTCTCCTTTTTCGTTGTTTCGTCAATCGGCTAAACGAACTATGTTTTGGAATACGGAACTTTGTAGTATCGTAAGTTACACCGCAAAAAATTGAGGTTAATTTAACATTTTTGGTGTAAAAAAAGTGTGCGAGAACTTATAACATACCGAATTACCCGCCACAGTAGTTAGTTTTACATCTTGGCATTGCTGAGGTAACTGCTGTAGCGGGTAATTCAGCATTTTATAAGTTCTCTCACACTGTTTTTACATCCAGAATGTTAAATCAACTTCCCTTTTTTTTCGGTGTTTCCCTTCTTTGAATTCTCCTTTTTCGTTGTTTCGTCAATCGGCTAAACGAACTATATTTTGGAATACGGAACTATGTAGTATCGTAAGTTACACCGCAAAAAAGTGAGGTTAATTTAACATTTTCGGTGTAATAAGAGTTTGCGAGGACTTATAAAATGCTGAATTACCCGCCACAGTAGTTAGTTTTACATCTTGGCATTGCTGAGGTAACTGCTGTAGCGGGTAATTCAGCATTCTATAAGTTCTCTCACACTGTTTTTACATCCAGAACGTTAAATCAACTTCCCTTTTTTTTTCGGTGTTTCCCTTCTTTAAATTCTCCTTTTTCGTTGTTTCGTCAATCGGCTAAACGAACTATATTTTGGAATACGGAACTATGTAGTATCGTAAGTTACACCGCAAAAAAGTGAGGTTAATTTAACATTTTCGGTGTAATAAAAGTTTGCGAGGACTTATAAAATGCTGAATTAGCCGCCACAGTAGTTGGTTTTACATCTTGGCATTGCTGAGGTAACTGTTGTAGCGGGTAATTCAGCATTTTATAAGTTCTCTCATACTGTTTTTACAACCAGAACGTTAAATCAACTTCCCTTTTTTCTCGGTGTACTCAATAAAAGCTCCTATCTGGGTGAGGAAAGTAATGGCACGAACGTTGTTTCTAAAATGAGCCAGAAATATTCATACCCAATCGTGCAGAGTGTAGCCTCAATCGACGTAATTTCATTTCAGAAGAAGGACCCATTTCTCCATCACAACACCTATCTGCATAGGAAAACGAAAGGCGTGTATGTTTTTTCCCGCTAAAATATGCCAGAGAGAATGGTCCCTCGTGCTGGATGTAGCTCATTTTTATGTTTAACTTGAGCCGAGGAAAGCATAGAGTTGGAAGGACGACAAGGCTCAGCCTTAAATCAAATCGTATCGTGAGAAAACGTATAATGCATAGAATAATAAAGTGCAAAGTAGGATTTTTTTGACACCCTCCGCGTCAAGGCACCTGTAAAAATCGTTCAAGTTGCCGAATTCTACGAGTTCGTTTTTTCTACGAAAAAAGCCAGAGATCACGGTTGTGCCGGTTTTCCGCTTAACTGAGTGTCTACCTAACACCAAAAAGTTTAAAAATAAGAATACACTGGATAATTAGTAATTTGGTGGCACTTCACTGACTTAAAATGTCCATTTTCTTGAAAATGTATATTGGATTACATTTTGCAATAAGGAACCACTATCTCTGGCTCTCCCACAAAAGCACATATTTGCATAGTGAAACCAATGGCATGCACGTTGTTTCTAAAATTGGCCAGAAATAGTGGTTCCTTATATTGCAAAATGCAATCCTATTGATGCACATCATTCGATACAAAAAATGTAGAACCTGGCTCTATTGATCTGAGAATATTTCATTCCCGAACGTTCCATCCAGTTAATAGTCGAAGTTCTTATTGCTATACTGCCGTGCTACGGAAAAACGCAGTATGAACCTCCGGACGTTTGCCATATTTCCTAAAATAAAAACTGAAGTACTGGGGAGATTGCGAATATTTTCCTGC